AGTTGCTCCAAGAAAATGATGCAAAGCCTCATATACTTGAGTATAATGAAAGTAAGGTGACCCAATCATTAAGGTGTAATGATAATCCTGAAAAAGACTCCTTTCTAGAAAATAGTGACAGAAAAATAACTTCAAATCAGCTGAAAGTTGAGCCAGACAAATGCTCTTTGTCAAGCAGTGTAGATGAAAGGGATAATTTGTTTGTTGGAATTGTGTGTAAGAAATTAGGCATGTTGGAGCATAATGCGATGGTAGAGGCAGAGTTATATCCAGAAAATAATGACCAAGGAATAGCTGATCAAAAGATGGAAGAATTTGGACCGAAGGAAAGCTCTTCATCAAGCAGTACAGTAAAGAAGGATAATTTCGAAATTAGAACTATGGATTATACTTTAGAGGCAGAGGAAGTGGTTAGAAATATTTCAGTAAAGGACCAAAGAGATGAACATGTCTACGCTTCAGAGTTAAATGCATCCAAAGCAGAAAACATGAGTTTGAAGTTAAATGAACAAAGAGAAAAGCAATCGGAAGTGGAAGGAAATTGTTTTCTGGATGATGTGGATGTTTCTGAAAGGAATTTCTCTGTTGAAAATGTGACAAGCCCTACTAATCATGCCACTTTTGATATTAATGCAGTTGGATCTGGGACTGAAGGTATAGCTGATTCGGCTAAATGTTCTAATGAAATTGTGGTAATGAAACTTACTAATGAGAAACACATTCTAGGGATTTCTCTCTCGGGTGAAAATGGATGTAATGGTCCTGGGTCAAAAGAATCAGACCAAGTGCCTATCAAGGATTTAGAAAATAATGAGAAGTCACAAATGGTCAATGGTGGTGCTGTCTGGGATATCTTTCGCAAGCAGGATGTTCTCAAAATCTATCAATACTTGGAAAAGCACAAGAAGGAATTTCGCCACCTTAATAATCTTCCTGTAAATTCTGTGAGTATCCTTGTTGCCTTTATTGAGTTAATAGTATGTTTCTCTGTACCCAAGAACTTAATTACTTTACATTCTGCTTTTTTCAGGTCATTCATCCTATTCATGATCAAACTCTTTTCTTAAATGAGAGGCATAAGAAACAACTGAGAGAGGAATTTAGTAAGAATATTCTGTGTTGATTGGTCAGCCATCCAGTGTTCCATCATTATATCACATCAATATTGTGAACGTTTGGTGTGTAATGCAGATGTGGAGCCTTGGACATTTGAGCAATACCTTGGTGAGGCTGTTTTCATTCCTGCTGGATGTCCTCATCAAGTGAGAAATAGACAAGTAATCCACTGGCTGCTGACAGTCTTGTGTTTGTGTCAGTGTCTTATGAATTTCATGTTGCACTGTTAATTCCATTAACTTTCATACTTTTCTTTTTCCATTTTTATTTTTCCAGTCTTGTATAAAGGTGGCACTGGATTTTGTTTCTCCTGACAATATTGAAGAATGTATTCGGTTAACGAAAGATTTTCGTATGCTCCCAAAGAACCATAGAGCCAAGGAAGACAAGTTAGAGGTAAGAAACTTGAATTTAGTTTATCGATTTGGTTGATTAGGTTAAAGTTGTGAGAACTAGGTAATGTCATTATTATGATGTCATGCATACTTTTGGAAAGCCATCCCATTACACACGCCCTACAATCTGTCTGTCTCAAGTAGGTTTTCATGCATTTGTGATTAGTGTTTGAATGATTGTCCAGTGGATTTATCAATCTCTGAAAGAGATAAAAATAGTCATGCTTCTTGCGTTCTGGTAATCTGTCAATGTTAGAATGGTAGATATACCTCATTGGGTTTATCTCACAACAGTTTTTTTTTTTATCGGGACTTGCAAACTTCTAAGTGGAATTACGGTTGTATAGAGTCTAGACTATAGAATAGTGAATAATTACAAGTATTTCACAGGCTCTCGGCTTTTCTTCCTTACAGGTTAAGAAGATGGTGCTCTATGCTGTAAGCTCAGCTGTGAAAGAGGCCCGAAGTTTGATGCCTAACCAGGAGTAAGACATATCGAATCTTTCAGTATGTTGTTAATCTGTGTTGACAACAAATTGGCCACCAATAGTTTGTATGTATCTGATGGCTGTTCATAGATGGATTTCATTCTAACTGCCACTTTTAGCTTGGTCGAAGTTCACAAGCTGAAGTTGCAAATTTCACCAATCACTTTGTTGATTGCTGTTTTGCAGAATAATTATACTAGCTTGTCTACGATGAAAATATTTTAGGTTGAAGCCTACCAACATTAGCTGCTAGGAATTTAGATTTGGATGTAAACTAGATGATTGAAATGTCGGTTTTATCAGAAAAAATTCACCAGCATCGTCATGTGGTGCTTTAAGGTGTTGATGGCAGGTTGTTCATTGATTGTTATTTCTAATATTTGGACTATAATTTTACTTAAATTGAATACAATCATGCTTGGCAATGCACCAAATTGTAGGAAATGCGGTTTCGGAATGAAGTTGCTGAATATGAGATGTGTGCTCTTGAGAAGGTAAAATATTTACGAAGAAGTGAGAAGGGGCAGTCGTAATTAATCAGAGGAAAATGCATATGTCAGTGCCTGGGCCTTTTGGACTGTGACCTAAGTGTGCCATAGGTCACATAGCCAATCTATATTAAGGTATTTTGAAAGAGAATAATGGAAGCAAAAAAATCCAGGTGATCAAATCAATTTAGCAAAGTGTTTAGAAAGACGACGG